TCTCTGGACTCCTTCCACATCCGTTAGGAGTCTGCAGTGCTCACCATGGCTAGCATTTCACATGGCCTAGTTGAAATCTGTGGCACTGAACCTCTTCCCTGAGCAGGCATTTAAGACCATGGTAATAGCTGAACCTTTTCCAAGCCTGATTTTCCACTGTCCTGCAGCTTGTGCAGACATTGCTTCAGTGCAAAGTGGATGTAAAACACTGCCATGCTGGTTTTGGGCCTAGTTGGCACAGGGGAGGCAGTATGGCCTTGTGGCTAGCGCACCTGATGGGACTCTGGAGACTTGGATTCTATGCTCAGCTTTGCCACTCTTTAGTGACTTTGAACTAGTCACTTCACCCCACCATGCCTCAGTTTCCCCATCTGTAAAAGGGGATGATATTGCCCTCCTTTGCAAAGCGCTTTTTGAGATCAATTGATGAAAAGGGCTGTATAAGGGCTAGGTGTTTTGTTACCATTATGCATAATTTTTTCTTGACTGCCTTGTGCATTGTACAGCCATTTGCTCCTGGGAACAAGATAGGCAGCATTTAACATTCACTTTGCATGCACTTACCAGAGCTGTAAATGGTGACATGAGGTGCAAGGCAGGGGAGAATCTGACCTTCCGTTTGGGCCCTCATTCTCCATAACTTTGTGCCTTGTGTCAAAAGTTATCCCTGCACCAAGTGAGACATAAGTAAAAAGTCTGTTCTAGGGTGATTTATGCCCACTGTCCTTTGCATGGAAATAGAGGTGTAAATGATGAGACAAGAGTTTGGGCAGCGGGGAATCAGGCCCATTGAGTTTTCCAAATGCCTCAGCTGACAGCAGAAACCAGCATGTCTCATTTCTGCCTCCACTTACTCAAGCATCATGTGACGGAACAGAGATTGGAACAGATCTGACTGCAGAACAAGTCCATCATGCCAATGGGGGATTAAGGACCCCTAACAGTATGCACTGACACAATAGCTGGGGTCATCATGATACCTGCTTTCAATGCTCCTTGGATTAGAGTAATGTTTCATATGCTTCTATTTTTCTTTTGACTCTGGCTAAACAAACAGTTAATGTGCTCACAAATCCCATTCATAATGTAAAGTGTCGGTAAACTTGTCTGTTATATTGCCCTTTATGATTTGCCTTTGGAAAGTGATACAGTGGTTCTGTCTGGGGGCTTTCACAGGGTCAGGATGATGTCATCTGCATCCAGTTCAAACACTCTTATATTGAATAAGAGGCAGAGATGTCTCATGGCTGGAGTAAGGGTGCCTGGAATGGGGGGAGTTGTGTTCTGTCCCTGACTCTGCCACTGATGCAGATCTATCTTGGATGGTAATGAAGACATACCTGGCATCTCCTCTAAGAAGTGCTCAGCCAAGCAAGTGCTCTTGTTACACCAGTCTTTATTGGCTCTTTTCTGTGTCTGACTTGCCACAGTAAATTACCACTTCTGGGAGTGGGGTGGTGTGCTAAATGTCATCTCAGTGTTGGAAAAACAGCAATTAGCAATGTAACATTCAATTACTTGGCTTTGTTAATGCAGCCCCAGCAGGATAGCAGGCCTGGAAGTGGAGCAGGAAAACGGGGCATTTCAGGGGGCAGGTGTTTGCTGTAAAAAGTACAAACTCCTATTCACAAAACTTTAGCAAATGGGTAAAGGAGAATCACCAGCAGCCAGCATTAAGATCCACTTAGACAGGAGATACTGGCTTATTCCTAATCAGCTGAGCCACTGTTATTGGTATCACCTAAAACATTATGAGCCTGATTTTCAAAAGAACTTGGCTCCCATGTAGGCACCAACATTCATGAAAGCTTGGCATGTTGGCTACTGTGCTGTTTCTAGTCTTTTAAGTATCTTAGTTTTATCACAGTTCTCCTCATTTTGGCCTGCAATAATGCCTGCTCTCTTGGGCAGAGATGATTCAATGACTCTGACCTCAAGTTTCAAAACTAAACTTGAATTACACCAGAACTGACTCTGCAATTCATCATTCTGAGGCAGAGAAAGGGCCCAATCCTTGCTTCCCATTAAGTCAGTTACATTGGTGCAAGGGCTGCAAAGCATTTGCAGAACCTCCCTGGAGAACAACCCCATTGCTGAAGGCCTGTCTGGCTAAGCTCACAGCCAGTTCTGCTGGCTCTCTCCCAAACATGAGAACCCTTAGTGCAGGGGCTGTTCCAGGAGGGGTAACCAGGTCAGCCCTGTGCCATGGCTATTTCCTGGCTGTTGCAAGGTGCCTAGGAGCATGGATAGCCAGGCACAAATTAGGGTAGCTAGACTCTGCACTGAACTGGCTCCCAGAAGCACCAGTATGGGATAGGGACAGGCAGACAGATCTCTCACTCTGTGTCCTGGACAGGGAGGAATTGGGGCTAAAGTGATTACCTTGGCCTCAGGGCCGGCTCCAGGCACCAGCCTGGCAAGCAGGTGCTTGGGGCGGCAGGTCCAGGTATTCGGCGGCAATTCGGCGGACGGTCCCTCACTCCCGCTGGGAGCAAAGGATCTCCTGCCGAATTGCCGCCGCAGATTGCGATCGCGGCCTTTTTTTTGCTGCTTGGGGCGGCCAAAACCCTGGAGCCGGCCCTGCTTGCCCTCTACTGCATGTTGACCTTTTGGGTGAAAACGTAAGAGCCAAGGAAGGCTCTGTCTGCTTTTAGTGGACTTATGCTTTGCACTAACAGAACATTTTCTAACTTCAAAGTGTTGACAAATATTAGCTCATCCTTGCAACCTCCCTACAAGTCACTCTTGCAGATTGCTGTTTTTCAGGGTAAGGATTCTTTCTGGGGAGACTGCTGAGTAAAGTTTCATAATTCTCTCCCCACCCCAACCCATGCTTATACTAGCCATCATGGGGAGGAAAAGATTTTGTGCCTGAGCTACTAAATTTTCTTGGCAGTCTTGCAAAGATGCTACAAGTTTTTATCCCCCTTCTACTCATCAGGTGGGAGAGGAAGGAGCTGGTGAGGCAAGGTGACTCACCCAAGGCCCTCCAAGGAAGCTGTGTCACAGGTGGATTTAGAGCTCAGGAATTCCTGGCTCCCCAGTCCTGTGCTCAGAGCACTAGAATGTCTAGCTCTTAAGGATTCCATGTGTCCCATCTCGAGGAGTAGAGGGCTGCCTGGTGTCCTTGGTGATAACTTATGTCTCCCACCTGTGAAATACTTGGATATCAGACAGCCTGTCTTTTGTCTGTGGAGGGTTCTAGGCTCAGATCTTAAGCATCAAACTTCTACTCAGGGGTGCTGGCACAGGAGGCTATGCCCTCCAACTCTTTACTGGCTGTAAGGGCGAGCAACAGGAGGAGGGGGTGGAGAGAAGCAAGCAGGGGGCAAGGTCTTGGGGGTGGGGGGAAGGCAGTGTGGAGTGGTGTCTTGGGGGAAGGTGCGGGGTGAGGGCAGGGGCTCAGGGAGAAGGGGTGCTACGAGGGGGACATGGCCATAGTTCCAGAGCCTGTGGCACCCCCACTTTTAGGACTCTTCCCCTGCTCTTGCTTCTATTGCAGTTAATGGGAGTTAGGTGCCTAAATAGTTTTGAGAATTTGGGCTTTAGTCCTTCTCTGAAATTAAAGGCTGAGATTTCCAAACCTGCCTTTGAGAATGTAGTGCCTAGTTCTGACTGGATTTGGGGCCTATCACCCTTATGCTCCATTGAGAATCCCAGACACAATGTGTTCTCTTTGGTAGCAGGAGCTAGTCACTCTTTTCTCAGGCAGGTTGTCATATTTTCATCCAGTGACTTCCCTTTGGAGTCCCATTTGAATTAATTTGGGGTATTCCTGATTAAGTGGATAGGGGTGAGGCTAAGAAAATGAAATTACTTTTCTGTGACTTCTAATATACACCTCTATCCCGATATAACGCGACCTGATATAACACGGTAAAGCAGTGCTCCAGGGGGCAGGGCTGTGCACTCCAGCGGATCAAAGCAAGTTCGATATAACACGGTTTCACCTATAATGCAGTAAGATTTTTTTTTTGGCTCCTGAGGACAGCGTTATATCGGGGTAGAGGTGTAGTTAACTTTTAAAACCTCTGAAGGGGGAGAAGAAAGACATTGACTTGGACCAATACTATTGCTCAAGAGAAAAGATCACGAAAGATCCTGCTGTTTTGAGGTAGGTGAAAATCCCTGTTGGTTTCAAGGGATTTCTTGCTACTTGCAGGCAGCAGATCAGACCCTGAGTGGGTTGATTTAAATGTGTATTTTCTGCAGGGGGGCTCTTTGGGGCAGGGACTGTCTTTGTTCTGTTTGTCCTGCACCAAGCACAACGCAGTCCTGGTCCATGGCTGGGGCTCTTCAGCACCACTGCAATACACATAATAAATAATAGCTTGTGAAATGTAGGGTGAATTAGGTAGGGATCTTCTCCACTCCTTGGTTGGTAATTAATTCAATGTCTGGAGCCTGGGAACAGATAATTGAAGTGGAGGGAATTTCCCTCATCTCCTCTCCTTATTTTTCTGTGGTTTGTGTTATCCCTAGATTAGACAGTGATGGACATATGAAAATGCCTTCGATTACAATTTGCTAACTGGTTTCACAATTACAACATACTTTTAACTCTGTCTGCCCCTTCAAGACCTTATTGTGGGTTCCCACCCTTCCTCCTAACAATTTCACCATGGCTGGGATTAGGAGTGACGGAAGCCTGCAACAAGTGTAGAAAGGGGATACCACATCCTCTGTTGCTTTTTACAGATTCAGACTAACACAGCTACCCCTCTGATACTTCACATCCCTTGATGTTTCACCTGAGCCTTAGCCATCTGGCTAGCCCAGCGCAGAAGCTGCCTGGTGGATGAAGAGTAAGTCTGATTGCACTCTTATCAGCCCTCCTTGTTTTTTTTTTTTTTCCAGTGCAAAGCACAGACCCTTTCCATTTTTGCTGTTGCGTTGGTGAGAAGGAATCATTTGTGAGGCTTGCCAACTGAGCTCTGCCGGAGTGGATGATTCCAGAGCCATTCTAATGAGGTGGGAGGAAACACAGCCCATTGGCCAGCTGCTCGTGTGTCTGTGAAGTCAGGACTTCATGCCACAGAAAAACAGAGCAGCAAATCTGCAGCATGTAGTGTTCTCGGAGCAAGGAAGCTGTCGATTCATTTGCAAGGTAAGCTCATCTATGCATTTAACTTTTTCATCAAGCCAGACCTTTTCCAGGTGTGGAAGCTAGTAATTCAACTCCCCCCCCCCTACACCGCATTAAGGAATCCCGAGGGGTCCATTTTATTACTGAGGCCATCGTAGCTAGGACTACTAGGTGTTCTGTAAAAGGCCATCATGCTGTAGGATTTTAGTCTCGTCTCTGTATTCTAGACGTTGTGTTGCACCACAATTTTTATACAAATCAAAGATTTATTACAGAGCCTTTAGGTTAAGGAGATTGCAGATGTAGACTTTGGAAAGACTTTGTAATCATGGCTTTAAACAGAAATGGAATTTTGGTTTTGGTGTGGGCACAAATAGAACATCCCGGTTAACACAAGGGGAAATATACACATACGTGCTCTACGGGTGTTTGGCCTAAGTAAACTACATCTTCTGTGGAAAGGCTTCATCTCCCAGCCCTGGGAGAGCTAAAAGCAGGATGTATGTATTACAGTTGTTCATTCATCAGTGGCTGCAGATAATGCAATTTTCAAGTCAGCAGTGCATGAATGCCGCCGTGCGTGCTGCACACCGAGAACACTCTACTTTGGGGAATCAACACTTGCTGTAGTTTGAATAAAATACAAGGCTGGAAGGAGAAAATGTCTTTGTGGGAGGGGAGGGGGCTATTGGTTAATCTAGATCACTCCATTGTTCCCAAGGATTCGTGTGGTCCGTGCATTCCCGTGGAGAGACCTGTCCATAAAAAATTCAGGAGTGGGGGGGGAAAAAACAGCAACAGCTTCAGGTATCCCTGTTGCCTGATGGATGGGGTAGATGTCTTGGTGCTTGTGAATTCACAGCAGTTTAATGATGTCCCTGCATGAAAAGGGCTGTATTTACAGTCCACTCTTTTATTTACATGTCAGATCCTGCATCCCTGGTGTTTCTGCTCCTGTTGTAAGGTGTCTTGGGGATGGTGAGAAATCACCATTGTGTTTTGCCACGAGCAAGAATATCACTTGTTTGTTTATTAGCCTATTAGGGTAATGGGAAAGCCATTCCTGCCCTGCTGTGCAGATCTCATTTCAGCAAAACTGCCTGTTCTCCAGCTTGTACGTGTTTGATTTTTAAACAGTGAGTGTACTGTGCTCATGCCAAGCCTAAGGCTGCTATGCCTCCAAACTGCCTGAATCAATGTTAGCTCCTAAAGCAAAAGCTCCACTTAGAGTGGAACCTGGAACTTCATGAATGGGATTTGGCCAAGCAAGGGTGTGCTGTGTATCTATCTAAGGGAAAAGGGGGAATGGTTTACTGACTTTTAGCTGCTGCTGTGCTCCTGCACTCAGTATTTTTGTTCTGCTTGTGTTGGCAGTGCTCTCCCTGAACTATAATTTGTACAGTAGTGCTTTAAAAATCTATATTATTTGAGATCAGGACCCCTGGTGCTAGGTGCTGTACAGACATAGTGAGAGACACTCCCTGCCCCACAGAGCTTACAGCCAAAGAGACAAGACAGACAAAGGTGAGAGGAGAAACAGAGTCCCAGAGAGGTTAAGTGCCTCGCCCAAGGTCAAGTAGTAGCTCAGTAACAGAGTTGGGAATAGCTCCCATGTCTCCTAAGTCCCCAGACTAGTGCTCTAACCATGTTGCTTCTCTTATACTAGCATTGATACTTTAGTGATTCTGTTGCACTGGTTCTTCACTCACACTTTCTGTTTAGATAGGTTGTTTAGATTTATTGATTATCTTAAAATAGTCTACTCTATAAAGCCAACCCCAGTACAGTAAATCTATAGAGAAACATGCAAATACACTGATGTTTAGACAATCAAAACCACAATTGTTGTGCCACATTTAGAACACAGTAGACTTATTCCACAATACACACACATTCTATCCAGAAAAAAAGTGGTTTCTAATATGTTCTGTATGCATGGAGGGCTAAGCTAGAAATTTGAAAAGTAAGAATTATTGTATGTTCAAAATGAGTAGTATTTTCAGGTGCCTCGTCCCTCAGTAATTGCACAGGTGATGTTGAGAGTACAAAATTACAGGAGTATGACAAGGGGAGATAATGTGATAAGCCGGTTTCTTCTTGCACGTTCTCCACTTGCTGTTGAGGGAAAGGGTGCGAGGGCTGGGGAGATGTCAGTGAAATGTTGAAGCATACTGAAAATGCTGAATTACCACGGTGGCAGCTTTAGAGAAGGGAGCATCTGAGGAAAGGTTTAAATTACTGTTCTTCACTTAAATTACATTTCTTATTTTGAAAAGAGTGCTATATGTGAGAGTATTTGGTGGGGGGGGAGGAGAGTCATCATTCAAAGATGGGGTTGGGCAACAGTTGTTGGTCCTTGAATTTAGTTATCCTACTTAATATCACCAAAGCTGCTTTGCTTATAAATTTATGAAATGGATAGGAAATGATTTGTCTTGCTGATATCTTGCAGCAGTGAGCTCCACTGGTTAATTATCTATTGCCTAAACTCCCTAAAGTGTTGCTTTGGATCTGCTTTAAATGTTTGGCTCTTAATTTCATTGAGTGCCTCTTTGTTTTTGTCTTATAAGACAGGGTAAATGGGAATACCAAATTAGCCTTATTGGTTTGTGTGTGTGGTGTTGGTTTTTTTTTTTTTTAAGCTAAAGGCTCTGTCCTTTTTGGCTGCTCCACATTGATGAAATCTATTCTCTTGCTGCATTTTTCTTTACATTAAGCCAGGGGAATGACTAAAAGTCCAGTGGTCTGATCCTGAAAGCCCATTGACCTTAGTGGCACTATGCACATGAAGACACATAGCAGGATTGGGCCCTATACTACCTATATATTGTTTATGCCACAAGGGTTAAGGCTAGGTCAGCACATGCATTACACAACGTGATTTGTATGACAGTAGAACCCCAGCTGAGACCATGGCCCCATGGTGCTGTATGAACATATAGCACGAGGCAGGCCTGGCCTGAAAAACTTACAATCGAGGCAGACAAAGTAAAGAACGGAAGGAGAAAGAGGCATAGAACATTTCCCAAGGCCAGTGACAGAGCCGGGAGAATAACTCCCAGGCCAGTGGCCTGGTCACTAGATCGTGCTGCCTCCCAGTGACATAGCTTTCTGCTTTCCCTAGAAAGTCATTCTGGAGGACATCTCCAGGCACTCCCACATGTAGCTATATCTTCACCACTGCCAAAGGGTCTGCTCTGAAGTACCCCCCCCCCGGCAAGATGAAGATGTTTGGCTGTGGGAGTTGGCTCCAAGCACCAGCCACAAGGGAGAGCAATGATAAATGTGTTCCATATGCCCATGAGGTAGCTCTGATGCTTCTACAGTTCTCCTGGCTGGGGCAATTGAGACTGAATTACAGACAAGCATTGATGGGAGCCCCATGTGCTGCTCCTAAATTTACAGCTAGCCCTGCCTAGTTTATTTGTAATCTGGCCATTAAATCTTCTTTCTGGGCAAGAGGTCATCTAGTCCAGTGGTTTTCAAACTGGGTTGCGATCCAGTACTGAGTCATAAAATGTAAGGCGCTGGGTCGCAGCGGCTCTGGTCAGCACCGCTGACCGGGCCGTTAAAAGTCCCATCAGCGGTGCTGCCTGGCTAAGGCAGGATAGTCCCTACCTGTTCTGATACCACGCTGTGCCCTGGAAGTGGCCAGCAGCAGGTCTGGCTCCTAGGCGGGGAGAGGCACGGGGCTCTGCGTGCTGCCCCTGCCCCGAGCACCAGCTCCACACTCCCATTGGCCAGGGGATGGTGCCTGCGGGTGAGAGCTGCGTGGAGCTGCTTGCACACCTCCGCCAAGGAGCCAGACCTGCTGCTGGCCACTTTCGGGACACAGCGCAATCTGCGGTGCCAGGACAAGCAGGAAGCCTGCCTTAGCACCCCCACTGTGCCGCTGACCGGGAGCTGCCCGAGGTAAGACCATGCCCCTACCCTGCACCTCAACCCCCTGCCCCAACCCTCAGCCCCCCAAACCTAGAGCCCCTTCCTGCACCCCAAACCCCTCATCCCCAGCCCCACCCCAGAGCCTGCACCCCCAGCCCAGAGCTCTGACCCCCTCCTGCATCCCAATCCCCTGCCCCAGCCCTGAGTCCCCGCCCCACCCCAAACCCCTCATCTCCAGCTCTGTTGGGTTGTGGGCATCAACAATTTTCTTCAACTGGGTTGTCAGAAAAAAAGTTTGAAAACCGCTGATCTGGTCCAGTCCCCTGCACTCATGGCAGGACTAAGTATTACCTAGACCAGTGGTTCCCAAACTTGTTCCGTTGCTTGTGCAGGGAAAGCCCCTGGCAGGCCGGGCCAGTTTGTTTACTAGCCACGTCCGCAGATTCAGCCGATCGCGGCTCCCACTGGCCACGGTTTGCTGCTCCAGGCCAATGGGAGCCTGCTCGGCCGAACCTGCGGATGGGGCAGGTAAACAAACTGTTCCGGCCTGCCAGGGGCTTTCCCTGAACAAGTGGCAGATCAGCTTTGAGAACCACTGATTTAACATTCTTTGTGACTCTACAGCAGACTAATGTATGTGCACAATGGAAGAAGTAACATACAAAGAAAGCTTCAAAGTGAACAGCTAACATCCATTCATTCCAACTTCTAGCCCAGGGGTCGGCAACCTGTGGCATGCGGCTCGCCAGGGTAAGCACCCTGGCGGGCCGGGCCAGTTTTATTTACCTGCCCCATCTGCAGGTTTGGCCGATCGCGGCCCCCACTGGCCACGGTTCGCCGTCCCGAGCCAATGGGGGCGGCGAGAAGCCGC